CTGGATTGAAGCTAATGCAGAAACTCACAGCTGGTTAAAGTGCAGAGAGAAAGAGTCTACGGAGTGCTCAACCGCAAACGGGAAATCTATTCCAGCCCTTTCCCCCAGAGGCTCCAGCACACAGGGAGGGGGGGCTCATGAATTCAAGCCAGGCAGCACTCCAGTTCACAGGGTGGAGGGCTCATGAACTCCCAGCTCCAGCCAAGGAGCTATTTACACTGATTCTTCTAGAGGAAGGAGAGCCCACTTTCTTTGTGGGTGGGCCTCTGGGAGGTACCATGTTCCAAAGGATAGACCCAAACTCCTGAGCCAAACCTCGGTAGGCTAGTAAAAATTGTTTCTTAAAGGGACCAGAGAAGTGGCTCAGCAGTTAAGAGCACTGGTTACTCTCCCAGAGGAGCTGAGTTCGGTTCCCAGCACCTACATGGCAGCTCACAACATCTGTAACTCCAGTTCCAGGAGATCTGACACACTCACACAGATACACATGCAGGGAAAACAACAATGCACACAAAATAAAAATAAACCATTCATTTTTATTTTTTAAAAGAAAACACATGAAGTTGGGAAGAGGTGAGGAGAGGGGAGGTGAATCTGCAGGAGGTGGGTGAATATAGAATATATCCAATTCCCAAAGAATAAAAATAGAGTAAAAAAAACTTTCCCACCCTCCTCCCTTGTCCCTCCACCAGCCCTCCCCAGCCCCCACTCAATCCCTACATCATTCCCAAGGGAGGGGGGATCTCCAGAGTCTGTCATTTCATCCATAATGCTGTGCACGCTAAAATTTAGGCAACTTGATTACTGTTAATGTTCAAACAGTATCTAACAAAAAACTAGGATAATTTATGTAATATTAGGGGGTTATGTTCAAGAAAGCATGCAAGCAGTAATTAAGATGATAAAGTAGTCAGAAATGTAAATAGCTATGTCCGGCTCTTCTCAGATACAGAGCACAGAACCTACCCCTTCTTAGCTAACTTGCTAACCCATCATTGAGACCCAGAGCCTCATGCCCAGGCTCTCCGATTCTCCTCCACCTCTTCTCCAGTCTGTCCTCCACACTGACCTTACAGCACATGCTCTTCCCAAGTGTCTACTCTTTCCAAGGCCACTGCCTAAACAGCAGTAAGCCACCATTGTCCCTGCAATAAAATCCATATTGCCGCCCCTCAACTAAGACTTTACTTTTTCTTTCTTTTTTCCCTTTTGGTTTTTTGAGACAAGGTTTCTCTATGCAGCTCTGGATGTCCTGGAACTCACTCTGTAGACCAGGCTGGCCTTGAACTTACAGAGATCTGCTTGCCTCTGCCTCCCTAGTGCTAGGACTAAAGGCGTGCACCATATTTGATTTTTCTAATAGTCTTTAGCCCTTGGCCTTTGGTTGGCGTGTCTTCTTTCCCATATCACAGTCAAAGCAATACTCCCAAAGTCTGAGTTTCAGTGCGCTACTGCCCCCCAGCCACGCACTTTCTGAACTAACGATGATGCTGCCTTCCCAGCTTCCGTGTCCCGCTGCTGCGAGATCCTGATACCTGATACCCTCACAGTAAAACCAGTCATTGTGGAGCTTCCCCTGACTGCAGAGGGAAACACCTGAGTTCAAACTTACCCTTCCCACTGTGCTGCTGAGCGGTCCACAGAAAGGACTAGATCTTGAAGGACTAAAAGGATCCTCTGCTCAGGGCCAGAGCAGGCTTGTTTGGTGAATGTCTCTTCTAAGATCAACCCCTGATAATATCCTATGCAAGATCTACTGACATTGTAAGAAAAATTACCACACTCTTTCACCCTTAGAGACACAAGAGGGTCCTTCTGCCTGAACTCACTTTCTTTAACCTTGTCTCCTTGGAGAATTACTTATTCACCAAGCCTCAGCTCTCCAATCAATGTCCCACAGGGCAAATTAGGCTCACACACGGTCACAGTGCTTAACAAACTTCCTATATACTACTCAGTGACTGTTCTGATAAGTCTTAGGAGTCTCTATCAGACTGTTAGTAACTTGAATGAAAGTCTTTATATGTTTTAATATCTAAAGCCCAGTTTCACAAACACTGTCTCATGAATAGTATATATTTAATAAAATAAAAAGAATATATACTTAAAATGTTAGTCTCAAATATCTAAGACATTATAACATATTCTGTCAATTACTTTTCCTGAACTATTGTTACTCTAAAAAAGGGTATGGTGCTTAAAGAGGTGAATTTTGAACTCGGTTATTTGCATAAATCAATTTTTAAAATTGCAATCAAAATGATACATTAAAATGATTATGCATAAGCTGATTTATTAATAAATTATTGAATATCCACTGTGTTGTATAGATAATACTTAAGTAATGGGATCCTATGCACTAGAGAATCAAAAATAATACACATAAAACTAAAATAGATAATATAAAAGCATAATGTATTACAAAAATGAGTCTGCATGTTCTCTAGACACAATCACTGAAGGACGCCTGAGGTAAGAATCTCTACATCTGAAAACAAAGTAAAATGAAACAAAGTTTCTAAGTCATTGGATAATCTAACGTCCTGATGCTACAGCTGAGAATAGAAAAGATCAAAGGGAGGAGCAGAAAAATAGACTTTAAACACCATTTTAAACCAACTTTAGGTTGTCTACACAAGATCAAAAGAAGCCAATTGTGAGGCAGACCTTAAAAGAAGGTGTACAATTCACTATGTAGAAGATGGAGATGAGAATAGTCTATGAAAAGATAAAAATGACGCCAGGCAGCCAGGAGTGGTGGCGCACACCTTTAATCCCAGCACTCAGGAGGTAGAGGCAGGCGGATCTCTGTGAGTTTGAGGCCAGCCTGGTCTACAGGGCAAGTTCCAGGACAGCCTCCAAAGCTACACAGAAAATCCCTGTTTTGGGGGTGGGGGTGGGGAATAGAAGCCAGGCATGACTGGCCACAGCTGTAATTTTAGTGCCTGGGAGGCACAAAGATGATAACATATTTAAAGACAGTCTGGTATGCATGGCAAGATCCCATCTCACAAAGAGAAAGAAAGGAAGGGGGAGGGAGGAAGGGAAAAAAGAATAAAGATAAGGAATGACCTATGACTAGCAAGAGCGGCCTAGGAGCCAGCATTCAACCAATTCACAGACACCTATTAGGCAGCTGTACGGGAAGTGACAATGGATTTTACAGCCCCAGATTTCAAAGCTTCCCCACCAAACACAAGCCTAAAATGTTATGCGATGGAAAACAAGTAACCAGAAAAGTTTATAGGCTATTTATGAAGTTCTAACATTCTAACTACCCAAATTTCCACTTGACGACAGGAAGACATACAACAATTATGACGTCCCTCTTGGCTAAGAACAGGACAGGATCATCCCACTGCTGCAGTTCAGACCTTCAGTGTCCCTGACACCCTTCTGCTAATGGCTTGACCCGCCTTCAGGACCGCACTCTCAGGAGGTGGGGAGCCTGGAGAAGGCGCAGCTGTAGAAGCACGTCCTTGGGCACTCACTCAGCGCATCCTGAGAGGGACTGTGACCCTGCCTGTGCAGTCACCCCTCACTTCCCAGCTCACACACACAGGCATGGAAGGACACAAACGGTAGTGAAACTCCAAGAGTCAAAATAGCCTTTATTCCACCAGCTGACTTCCTCATCCACTCTGCTATGGTGAGAGAAAGCTAGCACAACAGCTCAGACTGCCTGCCAGCATATAATGCTACTGCTTCTGGAGCACTTTAATGGACACCTCGTTCTTCCAGTACAACGGGTAAATGTTACTGAGACTGGCACTTGCCAGAACAGAATTCTGTTCTAAACACAATACTCTTGCAAAGAAAAAACTCACATGTATCCAATCATGAACATCATGCACTCTCTCCCTCTCTGTGTGTGTATGTGTGCACGCACTCCTGTGTGTGTGTGGGCATGTGCTGAATACACATAAGCACATGTATGTGCGTGCACACGTACATGTGAGTGTGCATGCACCTATGTGTACAGTGTATGGGGGACAGAAGTTGACAGCAAGTTTCTTCCTCTATCTCTGTATGTTTTGAGACAGTGTCTCATTGAACCTGGAGCTTAGCTACTCAGCTAGACCAAAATAGCTAATGAGCTACAGGAACTCTTCACTACCCACAGTACTGGCAGAAACGTGCACACGCCTGGCTTTTACATGTATGTGTGCAAAGGATCCAAACGCGGGCCCCATGTTATGCAGCAGGCACATACCAAGCAAGCCATCTCCCCAGCTCCCTAGACACAAATCCTTAAGAGAGAAATATGTGTCCTTGGGACTTTTAGAGATTTGTCTGCCTGTTTGCTTGCTTTGGAAGCAGGGCCTCACTGCTCCTGGCTAGCCTGGAATTTGCTGTACAGACCAGCTGACTTCAAACTCACAGAGATCTGCTGGCCTCTACCTTCCAAGTACTACAATAAAAGGCATGCACTGTCATGCCTGGCACTAAAATCAATTTTTAAATTTACTATTAATTCCTACAAAAAATATGCAACTAAAAATTTTTATGAAACATATTGGTACCAGAAATAAACTTAAAGTATACTCTCCACACAGAGTGTACATCAAGTTGAATAGCTACACTGGTTTTGTTGTTGTTGTTGTTTTTGTTTTTACGAGACAGGGTTTCTCTGTATTGTTTTGGAGGGTGTCGGTCCAGCCCAGCCTCAAACTCACAGAGATCCGCCTGCCTCTGCCTCCCGAGTGCTAGAATTAAAGGCGTGCGCCACCACCGCCCGGCAAAGTTGAACAGCTACACTGTTTACCACCCTTCAGAGTCAGGCTCCAAACAAGTATTTCCAAAAGATAAAAAGTAGAGAATTGTCCACTCTTCAATTGTAAACGGTTTATTCTCATAATCGGGAACTGACTGAACACCTTAGTAAGTAAGTAAGAGAGGTCAAGTCAAAGGCTTTTGTTGAAAACATGAGGAAGCGCTGTGTGTGGTACATTACCACAGCCACGGCCGCACAGCTGCGATCGCTCATCGCTGCAACTTACCCCAGTTTTATCACACAAGCGTAAGGTATGGAATGATCCAACAGCAAATAGTTCTCCATCTGGAGCCCAGGCAACTGAGGTGATAGGATGTTCGTGAGGCTGAGAACTGTACAGCCCACGGCCATAACTATCCCAAACCTACAAAATCAGAATTTTAAATGTTTTATAATAGCACCACCACATTCCTGCAAAAAAGTTTGTCCTCCAATAAATATCAAGTGAAGACTAAGAAATCATAATCGTATAGAATTAGCAACTAGATACTTTACCATCATCAAGGAGGACAAAGCAGTACTCCTGAAATTTTATATGCCTCAGAAAGAAAAATTTCACATTACTAACCCTGGACTAAACATGGCATCTACCCATCTTGAGCACTTTAAATTTAGTAGTAAAATCTGGTGATGGTTGGCCTTTCTTAGAACTTCTTTTTTCCAAATGAGATTTCTCTAATAATTTGTTAGTCCCCACAACTACAGTTACACTAAGTTTTACTGTTGGAGCTAGGGATACACCTCAATAGGTGTACCTTTTCCTGATGGCAGTTATCTTTCTGTATATATGTTTCTCTTATTGGTTAATGAATAAAACACTGTTCAGCCAATGAGGCAGAAGATAGGCAGGACTAGGAGAGAGCAGAATTCTGGGAAAGGTAGGCAGAGTAAGCCCGCCACACAAAGTCGCCATGCTGCCAAAGGAGTAACAACATGCTGGGCATTCCAGGTAAGCCACAGTCACATGGCAATACACAGACTGATAGAAATGGGTTAATAACTAAGACAGAGCTAGCCAATTAGAAACCCAAGCCATCGGCCAACAGTTTGATAATTAATATAGTGTCCGTGTGTTTATTTGGGGCCAAGCGTCTGTGAAGCCACAGTTATATTTTACCTAGCATAGCAATGGTCCAAGTACTGCAGAAAGGGGGAACATCTTAGCACCCACAAATTATAATGGTCTGAAATGAACCAATATTTAGGAAGCTAGTAGGATTGATTTTTTAAAACATTAAGTGAATAAAGTAATGAGCTGACTTAAATTGAAACACAAAAAAGAGCTGAATTGATGTTGCTGCTTATTAAATCAAATTTTTATTATGAGAACTTTAAATAGTTAAAGTTGGAAACCAATTTGCTTAATGATTATAGATAAAATTCTAAAAGATTAGTCTTATATGCTAAGTACTTTTCCCCTAAATCATATTCTTTTAAGCCAATAGTAAGTCTAACATTATATATTATCATAGTCATTTTTACTTGTCAACTTGACGCAATATAGAATTGTGTGAGAAAAGGATCTTGGTAAGGGACCGTCTAGCAGGTTGGCCTGGGGACTTCTATGGGGCTCTGTCTTGATTATGTCAAATGAAGTGGGAAGACCCACCCATTGTGGGCAGCGTGACTCCCTGTGTTTGTGTCCTGGACTCTAAGAGTTGGGAAATGAGCTGCATACAAGCACACACGTATTCATCCTCTCTCTGCTCTTGAATGTTGGTGTGACAAGCCGCTTCAAGTCCCTGCAATGATGTCACCTACAACTGTAAGCCAGACAATTCCTTTCTCTCTTAAAGCTGCTTTTGTCAGGGTGTTTGTTAGAACAGTACAGGAAATGAAGCTAAGACACATACCTTATACTTACAGTCTTCACCAGCAGATAAAATAAGATCATTCACTGAGTTCCAATCGACTTTTAAAATAATGCCGTCATGGGCTTTCCACTATGGAAGAGGGAAAGACATTATTTACAACTTTTGGATTGTTTTCTATTTCCTTTTCTTTTGTACCTCTGCCACGCCCTGCTAAGGAGCTGGGGTGTCTGAGGACCACTGTCACGCTCAGCTTGTCACCCCTTCCCAGTGCACTTCTTTCTTCATCTTTCTCTCATCGTCCTTTCATGGATTCCTATGTTCCTCACTAGCCACTGTGCAATTCCTCGTTTGCTCACCTCATTCCGGTCTGCATCAAGGAGAGCACCCCGCACCATGGCACCCATGTCACAGCTTACGTCCTGTGAATGTGCTCACTGCCTTGACTCCAGCTGGAACACCGCTTGCTGCTAAACTGTTTCCAGCTTGGTTTCAGCATAAAGAGCTGGGATAGATGAGCTACAACCTGAGACATCAGCTGACCTCAAATCCCCTTTCGCTGCTGGCCCTCTCAGTGACACTGCCTTCATGCTGACTCACAAAGTTCTCTTTCCTTTTCTTCCCCTGGTGGAATGGGGGTGGTCGGGAGACAGGACTAGAAACTGATCCTAGGGCCTCACACATAAAATACGCCTTACCAGTTAGCTGCTTTTTCTTTAGTTTCAAACTCTACTACATAAAAATCTCTCTCTCTCTCTCTCTCTCTCTCTCTCTCTCTCTCTCTCTCTCTCTCTCTCTCTCTCTCCCCTCCCTCTCTCTCTTTTCCTCTCTCTCTCCTGTACATCTCCTAAGCCTCTTTACTTTCATGAGTCTAGGTCAAAACTGGATTTATTACAAATTCTCTGTTGACTCACCATATAAGGAAACATTTTCTGTAATAAATATATATTCTATACACACAAAATACCTATACACAGACATATACAAGTTACCCAGAAACTTGCAATCTATAAGGCAAGCATGTTTTCTTACTCTTAAACATAAATGATCCAGAGACATACAGAATGTATATCCACATATGTGAATATATATCACACAGAAACTGGTAATAAGCGTGGGTGAATTGCTGTTAAATGTAACTCATGCTCCTGCTTGCTATTGCTATTCATGTAATCAGGCATCTTTTAAATGTAAGATCCATTTGAGCAACAAACTCCTTATGACAGGAAACATCCTCCATTTCTCTCACAAAATAAACTGAGGACAATTTTTGTTTGCTTGCTTGTTTAGTGTGTGTGATGCTGTGGTCAAACCCAAGGCCTCACACATGCTTACCTGCTTTGGAATACATGCCCAAGCGCTGCTCTATTCTATTTAATAACCAATACTCACATACTGTCACACAGCTGGCGTGTAGTGTGTTTACACTGAACATGTAAATATGCTTCCTCATATAAAACTGGATTCTGAATGTGTGGGATGCCTTACGGTTCTAAACTGCATATGCCCTTTCGTGGATCCCCGCACTTGCATGTGCTTACCCCTGGAGAACCGCTATGAGCTGGATTCCCAAACGGATGGGTAATTTGCATTACATTTCTAGTTATACTCTAACTCCTCTTTCACTCCAGCGAACTGTGATAATGGGTAGATTTCATTTTCTATTCTTGGTTACACAGAAGCCCTAAAGTACATTTAATGATGATGCACAAAACTTCCAAGTTTTGTTTATATAAACCTAATTACAGATGTCTTAATGCACATGAATGTAAACCAAAGGTATAAATGAAAAAAATCCATGCTCCTGTCTTTGCTGCCTAATTTCTTTGCAGATTTATTGGTTACGTTTTTGTCAGCTTAATACAAGCTAGAAGAGAAGAGCGAGGCTCCATTGAAAAAATGCTTTCGTAAGAGTAGCCTGGAGGCTTTTTTTAATTAATATTTGATATAAATAATAGACAGATGATAGACAGAAAGGTAGATAGACAAGAGGTAACATATATGGTCTATATTGAAATTATAATACAGAACATCAAAGTTTCCTCGATCTCTTTACTGCTTGAAATCTACATTTATCCAACTTCTGAAATTGATGATTCTTTTATTTTTAAATTATGTGTTCAATTGTCCGCATGAATGTATGTGGACTACATGTGTGCAGCACCCACAGAGGCCAGAGGAGGGCATCAAATTCACAAGAACTGGAGTCACAGGCAGATACTACCTGCCGTGTGGGTGCTGGGAACAGAACCAGGGTCCTCTGCAAAAGCAGTGAGTGAGTTTAACTGCCCAGCCAGTCCCCAAACTTATGCTTCTCATACCTGATGCAGCTTGTCAATCTCCATCACCAAGCTCCTTGTAGCTTTTTAAAAATAATTTCAATTTATTTTATTATGTTATACGTGTTTTCCTGCAATGTTATGTCTGTAGACCACATGCATGTCTGGTGCCTGTGGAGGCCAGAAGAAGGCATCAGATGCCCTGGAACTGGAGTTACAAACAGTTGTGAGCCATGTGGGTGCTGGCAATCTAACCTGTATCCTCTAGAAGAACAGCTAGTGTTCTTATGGCTGAGCCATTGCTCCAGCGCCCCTTACATATTAATTCATAATAACATAACAGCATCCGTAACAGCTACTCAGTATCGAATGCCAGGCACTAACCCTCACAGTCAGAGACAAGAAAGCTGAGATGCAAAGAGATTCAGACTTTGGGTCATCACCTAGAGGTAAGCAAGTGAAGGCTGGCTCAGGCGCCTCACTCCAAAGCTGTGGGAGTTTAAACAAGAACAGCTGAACTTGGCAGTGTTGTCCACATGGTTCTGGCTTTAGAGTCCTGAAGGATACGTGAGTAAAGGAGCTGTGGAAACCTCTAGGTTAAAGAAAGGTGCTGAGGCCAGGTATGTGGCAGGGTGCATGGAGGCCCTGAGAGGCCACTGCATGAAGCTGTGGAAGTGAAGCCTGGTGTGCACTGGAGACCCCAGGATGGCGGAGATGCAAAAGCCATGTGACATCCGCCAAGGAGAGCTACATACAAGGACTGGAGCCAGCCCAAGAGAGAGGTGTGCTTCAGTCAGCCATCTAAGCCCTTCGCCAGCAGTCATGAGCTATGGGACTTGCAGCTTGCCCTGCTGGATTTCATTTTGTTTTCTGGTTCATCTAGTATTTTCTCACTATGCCCCATTTGTTCCTTTTATTCTGTCACTGTATGTTGGAAGTACATAATTTGCTTTTTTAATTTACAAGGCGTTATAATTAAAAGACTACCTAGAGTCTCAGAAGATACTGAACTTTTAACCTGTGTTGAGACTGTGAAAGACTATGGTGACTTTTAAAGATGGACCCTCAAATAAACCCTTGTTTCTATAATGCTGGAACAGAGTTCAAGAATGGAGTCACTGGGGGCTGGAGAGATGGCTCAGCAGTTAAGAGCACTGAGTGCTCTTCCAGAAGACCTGGGTTCAATTCCCAGCACCCACATGACAGGTCACATCAGTCTGTAACTCCAGTTCCAGGGGATCCAGCACCCTCTCACAAACATATGTGCAGACAAAACACCAACACACATTAAGAATTAAAATAAAATAAAAGAATGGAGTCATGTGAGAATTCTGAGTACTTGCGAGAGAACTCCAAGAAAACAAGAATCTTGTAACCTCAGTTTCTTCAAAACACAGAATTGTTTTTGGAATGGTGTTTTCTCACTCCTCCTGAGTATTGTGGATAGGAGACAGTTTACTTCAGCTGTTGTTATTTATATGCCTCTAGGAAAACCATGTTTTGCCAAATGTGGCTTGTCCTTCTGACTGTACACTATATTCAGGTGACTCTTAACCTTCAGGGTATAAACTGTTTGATGCTCTAAATAAAGCTGACTATTGCATGAGACTTCAGTTCACCTCATTTTTAGGCCCCTGTTCTCCAAGATTCAAGCACCAGCTAGAGTGGTAAACACTATAAATTGCCTTGGTCATAGTGTGTTATCACAGCAACAGAAAAGTAAGACAAAATCCAAACTATACTGTCTTTATCAAAATGTAAGGGAAGCCATTCTGTCTTTCAGTACTAGAACCAATCACCAAATCTTGCATGCTATGTGGAAAGTGTGTCTTTCATTTAGCCCTGCCTAACCTGTCCTAACAGCCACTGTTGTTTTGTTTAACCCATTTCCCTTGAATTTTTGAATAATCAGGTTTTTTTTTCTACTCCCTGAGTTTAGGACTACCTTCTCACCTATTCTTTAAGATTTACTTCCTAAAACTATTCCGAATAGCACACAAGCAAATGTCAGCTCAACAGCTATCTTTATGCCAAATGCTCTCTATATTATTCATAAAGTTATATGCCCATAATTGGTTCTAAGTCTCATATTGACTAAAAATACTGAAAGAATGCTAGGCCTTTGACAGAGCACAAGTGTTTGAACTGATGATAGTGATGACTAAAAACAAAATCTAAGCACTCTTAAGAGTTTCACTTAGTTTTGTTTCATCTCAGACCTAGACACTGGAGGCTGACTCTGTAAATTGAAGGGTACTCGCTTGTGCTGAATCACATGACAATGTAGTCACTCCAAACGCACACGACTGACCACAACAATGTCAGCTGAAACAAGAGAAAAGTGAACCTTTTTGGAAACATGAACAGAAATGACCTTAAAGTTTGATAAAACTGCAAACTCAAAGCTCTCAGACAGTCAGGGGACTAGCCAGAAGGAAGGGCCTGCAAGGACCACCCAGCTTGGCAGTGCCGTAGAACCAGATAGGAACTTACAAAGGCCTGAGATGTACCTGTAAAACCTTAGCATTTGGTTGAAGAGGTTTAATGATGAGCTGTTTGCCTGCTGTATAAAGAACCTTTTCTGAATCAGGGCCCCATGCTACTGAATACACTGGAATTCCTGTAAAACAAGAAAGGGGAAGAGGATAAATGCACATTTTCATAGCTTTAAAAAAACAGTAATGTTAAGAGGATCAGAATCTTGGCATGGTGGCACAGGAATACAGAAGGCAGAGGCAGGATAATGCTAAATTCAAGGCCAGTCAGAGCTTCACAGAGTGACTTCCATGTCAAACCGGGGTGAATAAATAACCTGAGTATTATTTCGTTTCCACTTAGTAGTCCTTTCATTCTGGACAACAGTCCGACACTGAGCCACTGACACGCTTTATTTTGCATTTGTATGTTTTACTTTGGTTTGGGGGTTTTGGGAGTTGATGTTTTTGTTATTGTTATTTTGGGGAGGTTTTTCTGCTTTCGTTTTGTTTTTGAGAAATGATCGTACTGCGTACCCAGGCTGGCTCACAAACTTCCTTCCTTACTTTGCATTGGGATTACAAGTATGCCCCACCTCACCAATGACACATCTTTTCAACCAATTGGGATCTTGTTGAGAAAACACAACATTTTTCAGACATTCTAGATACTGTGCCATTAAAATCTAGGATAAAGGTTTTATAAAATTCATGGCTCTTCATTCCCTGCCCCCATGAATAACCAACAGAGCTGAAACTGCCTCAATGTATAAGATAAAAGTATAATTTATACATAATAATTATATATATAATCACTATATAAAAATATATATTCTATATGTACATATAAACATAACTGTTTGGGGGTCCTTCGTATAACCCTAGCTGTTCTGGACTCCCGACGTAGACCAGGCTGGCCTTGAACTCAGAGATTCATCTGCCTCTGCCCTCCCCAAATGCTGGACTAAAAACATGCACCCCACACTAGGGTATATTCTTGCATAGAATAAACACCGGGTGACTGTTGCTGTCATTCTCCACTGTGTTTTCTGAGACTAACACTGGGTCTTTCACTGAACCGAGAGCTCATCAATTTGGCTAGACTGCTAGCAGCAAGTCCCATGGATCCTCCTGGTCAGAGGCCTCACAGTGATGGAATTGCAGGTGAGCACCACGGCCTCAGCTTCTCTATGTGGGGGCTAGGGATAAGAGTTCAGGTCTTCCCCTTGTGTGTCCCCCAATGAGCCATGTCCTCAAACCCGTGACTTCTTGCATTTCAGATTCTCAGAGCAGGAAAGTCTTGCTGTCATCAGATGGTGCCTATCCAAGGATGGCAATGACAGGAAACACGGCCATTCAAGTTTACTTACTGCTGTGATCTGAATATGACGCTCGCGACCGGAGGCCAGGCCTCAGCTGGTGGCACTATCTGAGGCGATCTGGAAACTTGAGGAGGCATTACCAGGCCGAAGGAAGTGTAACCCTGGAGCCTCAAGCCCCGACCCTCACCTCTCTGCTTCCTTGCAGCCACAATGCAGACTGCTCTGCCTCTCCATGCCGCCACCGTCAAGAGCCCCAAACCTCTGAAACTGAGTGCTGAAAGCCTTCCTCCTTTGTTCATGACTATGTCTGTCCCAGCAAGAGTCTGACAGATATAGCTATCATAAGCCACATTAAATCTGATAGGGTTTTGGTTTCCGACAAACATTTACATAGTATTCTTTTAACTCAGTTATATCTAAGGACACTATTTAATTTCCCTCCATTCTTCCTTTAAAAAAAGATTTCCTTCTTTTTATTTTATGTGTGTAAGTGTTTTGCCGGCATGTATTATGTCTGTGCACCGCATGCATGGCTGGTGCCCATGCAGGCCAGAAGAGGGTGTCAGGTTCCCTGGAGCTGGACTTACAGACCACTGTGAGCCACCATGTTGGGCTGAGAATAGAAACTGGGCCTTCTGGAAGAGCAGCCAATGCTCTTAACCACTGAGCCATCTCTCCACTTTTCTCTTGACACAGAATCCTGCCATTTAGCCAGGCTGGCCTCAAACTCCTGATCCTGCTGCATTTGTACTCCAAGAGCTAAGATCAGATGTTCGCATGCACCATCATGCTTGGCGACGATAGTATTCTTAACCTGAATAACTACTATCTCCTAGAAATCTATGTTTTACGCGACCTTCATTTTAAAAAATGAATATAATAGCCAAGTAAATGGCACATGCCTATAATCTCAGCACTCAGAAGGCTGAGACAGGGAAATTACAAATGGGAAGCTATGGACTACATGGTGAGTTATAGGCCAGTCTAGGTTAGATAGCAGTATTTCTCTCTCTCTCTCTCTCTCTCTCTCTCTCTCTCTCTCTCTCTCTCTCTCACTCACTCTCACACACATACACACACACACACATACACACACACAATGTGTGTGCGTATAGGCATATATATGTACATATATATATATACATATATATATATATCCTATTGAAGACATTGGTGATATAGTAATATAAATCTTGCCAGAACTGCCTATTCATTAGAAAAACAAATCAAGGTTATATAGTTAATCCATGAACCATTAGACATTTATAATTATAAAACCAAGCCTTTGAAAACTGTCTAGGATCAGATTGTTACAGCAATTGGCTTCTATGAAGAAATGAATGAATGAATGTTCAAGAAAGTTACAGTCCCAGGAAAATAAAATCTGAATTCGATGATTCATGGTCAAGCAATAAGATTTTTGTTTGTTTGTTTTTATGTTTTGAAACAGCATTTCTTTGTAGCACTGGCTATCCTGAAACCTGCTTTATATACCAGACTGGACTCGAACTCAGAGAGATTCACTCTCTAGTACTGGAATTAAAGGCATGTGCTAAAACCACCCAGCATGATTTAATTACTTATTTAGAAAGAAAATTCAACATGCTATACTCAAGAAGGAGTGAATTTCATTAAGACAAATACACTATTTATTTTGTGCATTTTCCCAAATAAGTGCAAAAGTGAACAATTGAATGGTCTAGTTTCCACCTTATCCATACAAACTCTGCAGGATGGCTTCCACAGTTTACATTGAATGTTATAAAGACTCCAGGCATCCTGGTTAGTCAACAGCATCTGGGCTTTATCTGTATCGCCGCAACCCATAAAACTCAGCCCAATGAGGTGACCAAACTCGAAGGGTGCTCCTCCTCCTCTGCACTTACAAATATTCTCTAAGAGTACCTGGAGCTGACCTGGGACTCAAGAGTAAACTCCCAGCCAGGCATCTAGAGACAGAGCTGGATGGGCTGAGGCCTGTAATCCAGCATCCCGAGACGGAGCTGGATGGGCTGAGGCCTGTAACCCAGCATCCCGAGACGGAGCTGGATGGGCTGAGGCCTGTAACCCAGCATCCCGAGACGGAGCTGGATGGGCTGAGGCCTGTAACCCAGCATCCCGAGACGGAGCTGGATGGGCTGAGGCCTGTAACCCAGCATCCCGAGACGGAGCTGGATGGGCTGAGGCCTGTAACCCAGCATCCCGAGATGGAGATGGATGGGCTGAGGCCTGTAACCCAGCATCCGGAGATGGAGGCAGGTGAGTCACAGCAGGGCTGTGCTTCCTTTGAACTACACAGTACTAACAATGGAGTCCAAGCTGGGCTGGGCTAAGAGTGAGACCACACCTCAAAAACAAAACAAAACAAGAAAAATCAACAACTTTAAATGCAATCTTCAACTCTAATAAACACCCTAGAAAGCGTAAACCCAGAGAACTGGAAGGGAGAACGGCCAGGGACTTAGTAGTTAGAAGTAGGCAGTTAGCAGTGCCAGCCTGCTGAGTGCAGCTCTCACCACCCATCAAAACTTCCTTTGCAGCAGAGGGAGGCCACTACAGAGCCACAGGAGGTCACAACGCAGAGCATAAAGAACCATGGGGTGCCAGGCCCCAGCTGGTACATCCACAGCAAGTTCCTACACTATGGCTATCCTGGCTAGTTTTATGTCAACTTGACACAAGCTAGAGTCATCACAGAGGGAGCCACAGTTGAGAAAGTGCCTCCACAAGATAGGCTGTAGGCAAGCCTGAAAGAAAGACAGAAGTTAATTTTCTTAATTTGTAATTGACAGGGTAGGGCCCAGCCCATTATCCCTAGGCTGGTAGTTGTAGGTTCTTTAAGAAAGCAGGCTGAGCAAGCCAGTAAGCAATAACCCCACCCCATGGCCTCTTCATCAGCTCCTGCCCTGCTTGGGTTCCTGTCCTCCTGACTTCCTTTGATGATGAACAGGGCTGTGGAAGTGTAACCCAAATAAACCCTTTCCTCCCCAACTTGTTTTTGGTCATGGTGTTTCATCACAGCAATAGAAACCCTGATGGAAGACAGTGTCTTCTAGACTTGACTACGCCCATGAAATCACAATATGGTTGCCTAGACATGCCAATGGGGATGGGGAAAGTTTCATGACACCCCACCCACAGGAGCTATAAGGCAGCCAATAGCTGCTGAGAGGAAAAATGTATTTTCTGCAGGGACAAGACCCCCGATAAGTTTTCAAGCTGGAGTTGTCAGTCCTAAACACATGTGCATACTTATGGCAATACTAAGTGGATTCAGTAGGTTGTGTATATACACAACCACAATAACAGTAGGTCTTATACACACAGAGTCAGGTGTGGTGGCAATACATTCTTTTATTCCTAGCACTCTGACAGAGCTCTGTGAGTTCAAGGCCAGCTTGATCTACATATTAAGTCAATGCCAACCAATGAGCCCCTGTCTCAAACAAAATAAACTTAATAATTATGGAACATGTCATGACTTCAAGGTAGAGGGGACACGGGAAGAGTTGGAAAGGGTAGAAGGAGCAGAGAGAAATGATGCAAATACAGTGTACATATGCATAAAACTCTCAAAATTTTTAAATTAAAAAATAAATGTAGTTAGCATTATAGTAAACTAGTATGTGCTTTCTAATTTCCATTATTATAGTTATATTTTTGTGCAAAAGGGAAATTAATGTATTTTAATTTACAAGTTATCAAATATTCACAACACTCAGTGAAAGTGCACTTTGCTGAGTTATCCACTAACCAATAATAACCAATTGTGTAAGCAGAGCTCCCACTGAGTTACACAGGATATGACTTAAGGTACAGCTGGG